ATGGCTTAGGGCAGGAAGAGCTTCTATGTGTGTCTCTTTCTCCTCAACAAAAATCATACTCAAGGTATATCTCAGAGATTTTTAAAATTTCTAATATTTAAAAGTTTATTTCTGTGGATGAGACATTCTCTGTAATTACCAGAAGAAAGAAATGGTCTTCCTGAGCCGGACCGTACCGGGAGCCGGCTGCAGCACACGCTCTGCAGTGAGTGGGGTCCTCTCCCCGAGTCACTGAGACGCTTCTCAGTTGGGCTGTAAGGCTGAAGCAATCGAAGGCTTCCTCAAAACATTCCTAAGATAGCTGCCACTGCCCCTCTAAAAAGCTCAACCAAACTACCAAATTGCTTACCAGATGGCTTAAGACAAAAAAGGGAAAAGACTCAAATTACTATAACTAGAAATGAAAAAAACACGCATTGCTACTGATTTTATGGAATCAGGAATGTAACACAATGCAGTGAAAAGCTGCAAGTCCATAAAACAGGTAAATTAGTTTAAATGGGAAAATTTCTAGAAACACATATACTGCTAGTTTCAAGTAAAGAAGAAACTGAAAGCCCAAATAGATCTATAAAAAGAAACTAAATAGATTTATAATGAAAACAAATGAACAAAGAAAGCCCAGGCTCAAGTGGTCTCAGTGATGAATTGTATGAAACATTTAAAGAAAAATTATTCATAAAACTTTTCCCCAAAAGAGTGATAAAGAAATATTTTTCAACTCACTCTATGATAGCATTATTATTTTGATACTAAATCCTAGACAAAAACATCATGTTTAGAAAAACTATAAAATAAAAATCTCCTGAGAGTCAAAACAACTTTGATATATAAGACAGCATTAATGTATATACTGTACTAGGATTCATCCCAAGAATGCAGGGTTTGTTTAAAATCTTAATATCAATTCATATATATATATATATATATATATATATATATTTATCTGTATTTAGTGCAGGGTCTACAGGGTCTCACTACACAGATCGGACTCACAGTGATCCTCCTGTTTTCAGCCTCCCAAGCGCTGGAGTTACAGGCACGTGCCACCATGCTCAGTCTCAAATATTATGTACTCTTTTAAAAAAATATTTTTAATACAGGGTCATACTACACAGCTTGGACTCATAGTGACCCCAATATTAATAGATAATGAACAAGGGTACATGACCATTTCATTGATACCAAAAGTTGACAAAATCCAGCAGCTCCTTATAATAAAAAATTCTGAATAGTAAATATAGAAGGGAACTTCCTCAAGTTAATGAAGAACATAGATGAAAAATCCACAGCTTACATCATGCTTAATGGTGAAAAGCTGAAGGCATAAAACATGACAGCGACACACCGAAATTTTCAACTGTTTGACAGGACTAAGAGTTTCAAAGTTGTTATGCTCTGGATTATAGCTATCCCTGAGGATGAGTTGGGTTTTTGTTTTATGGAAATGTCAAATAGTCTAGGTTGCAAGCCAGAGGAGAGTTCATCATCACGTGCTCTCTGAGGCTGCATTCAGCAGGTGATACAAGCTTTAAATATGTGGCTTCTTGGTCAGGATCACTCAGAGGCTTGGCAGACAGCCCCCATCCCTTCGGATGACAGTGGGCTTTCCTACTCCCGGGTCCCGCTCCATTACACCAACACACTTCTGGAGTCATGGCATCCTGCATGGCTTCTTTCTTGACTCTGGCTTCCAATGCGACATGGAGGAGAGCACATCTGTGTTGTACACTCACTGAGATTTCAACTCCCAACTCGAAGCTTCGTGTCCAGGTCCAGTACCCTCATGGCTGCACCTAGGATCTGGTCAATGCACGCTGAGTTCTGGCACTGGGGAATTCCTTATTGCAGCCCTTTATATTAAGGTAAGGGCAGGGAGATAGCTCAATGGTCTCAGCACCTGCCTGGAAAGTGCAAGGTCCTGAGTTCGATCCCCGGTACCTCATGACATGCTGGCCCCATGCTGAGCAGGCCACCAAAACCAGGGTTGGTAGCATGCATCTGTAGCCCCAGTGCTGGGGAGGCTGAAACAGGAGGAGCGCTAGGAGTCTGAGCTGTGTAGCGAGGCACTGTACCAAATACCTAAATAAATTTAAAAAACTAAAAAATAGAGTTCGGTAAGTACTTCATTGTTCCTGTCACAGTTATATTGTGCCTGGCATTTCTAAGTGTCTGCATAGTTATATGAATATTTATAGGCATACACCTCACACAGGGCTCTCAGTGCTTTTGTATCCTTTAGTTTGTTGGTGGTCAGTGAACAATGGAGTGGCTGCTCTCCTGGTCCTGCCACCCGCGACTCATTAAGGGGTTATCTGAGGCTTAGAAGGAGAGAAGAGGCAGACAGTATTCCTCTGTGAGGCCTGTGTGTGGTAGTCTGCTCACAGAGTGTACTAGTGTCGCAGTTTCCATCAAAGAGACAAGAAAGTGAAGGCCTATAAATCCTAGGCCAGGCTTTATAGTTTAAGTTCTTTCCATTTTTGTCTTTCTGCATCACTTTAAAAGAGAATTGAACTGGCTCATTCGCTGGGCAAACACTCAGCCCTGACCACGCTTTCCAGGCCCTCCTCATGGCGGCGCTGAAACGCACGCTCTTCCCGACTCGGAGTCTACCAGCCCCGAACCTCGTGACCTAGCACGGTGTGTCTTCATATGAGCCTTTAAATACTGTTTGCTTCATCCTTTCATCTGAGTCTCAGTCGAGCCATCATTGACTCCCCTCGGGTGCTGGCAGTTGGTGAGACTTTGTGGTAGAGCTTTGCACTAGTCTGGGTGGGGAGGAGCCCATCCCAGACCCCTGCTCTACATTCTCATCATGTTCTGCCTCTCCTCCCGGAGGACTAGGACAATTTGAAAGGCATAACACCTGGAGCCCAGGGCCCCTCATTCCTAGTGCCCTGGACCTCTGAGTCCCTGCTGGAGCCATCCTTACCTCCTTGCTGTGGCTAGCGCAGTCTCCCCCCCAGCAGTCCCTTTACAAGACCAGCTGTGTTACCCCTAAGTCCTAGAGACGGGTATCTGCACAGCTGCAGGCCTGGCACACACATGCACAGATCTCCCCTAGAACAGATGGACCCAGGAGAAAGGGGTGAGCGGGAGGGCAGAGCCAGGAGCCAGGGTGCTGCTCCTGGTGCCTCCACATCCCAGCAAAGAACTCTGGGGAATGCAAGGATTGTGGCCATGACCCTGGCTTTAGAGTCATGAAGGAGGAATATTTGTCATGGCAAGAACATCAAATCTTTTATTTTAACTAACATTTGATGTCTTGAATTTTAATTTGTAAATCCTTAGGCTTGGCAGCTGGGCCTCCACTTGAACTCTTGCCCTGGGCCTTTTAGATCTTAAGACACAACATTCATTTCTCATAGACATGCACTGTTCCAGAGAGCATCGGAATGGGATATCATAAGAACTGGGCTGAAGTATGCGCTGCGTATTACAGGAATGTAAGGAAAGGACTCAAGTCCGTGCATTGACTCCATGGAAGGAAGGGTTTGGAACTAGTACCAGGTTACAAAAGGCAGTTCCAAATGGACTCATGCTTTATGTTTCTGTTGTTAAGAAAAAATGACATTAACCAGAGATAGAGGGTAAGGATTGGACAGGAACTACTGCTGCCAGAACCTGTGGTGGCTTGGTCCAGTAAGCCTCTACCCCAAGCAGGGGACACAGCGGTGAAGCAGGAAGCAGCTGCGGAGGCCCTGTGCTGCCTGGAGACTGCAGAGGTGGCACGGGGCAGAATTTTATGGTGCACATAGAAACTATAGTCTTGCACACTGAACTATGTTTTGTTCAACAATGCACAGTGTATATGATGGGTATTTCATGATATGAGGCCAAGGTGAAAAATTCGTATAGCCTAGTGAAATCATGGCCAAAATGTGGGGTGTAATACATTAGAGATTTGTGACGATGCTGGTGTAAATAGCTCACTACATGACAAATAGTATGAAAGCTTGCATATGGGAGGTGTGTACCTACCTGACACTTCATACAAACCACAGTGATACCCGTTTGTGCCTATAATGTACCGTGTTTTTATCATCATTATAGCATACACGACAACCTGTATGAAGATAGCTTTACTGCGGAACAGCACCGTGTTGCATGGCTCAGGCAGCGGTCTTGTACATCTGGTTCTATCGTGCGTCTTGATTTCATCAGGGGGATGCAGCAGTCGATTGACTTGAGCCAGCTAGATTGATGTGACTGCATCTCTGTGTTTGCATGGTGACAAAGTAGCATAATGACGCAGTTCTTTTTTTTTTTTTTTAGCGGAACCAGGGATTGAACTCGGGCCCTTGCGCTTGCCAGGGAAGCGCTTATCCCACTGAGCCATCTCCTGGGTGTTCTTGGAACATAGGAAGTTTGGTTTTAGCTATGTTAATTTGAACTCAGCAGGAGATGGGGCGGACCTGATCCCTTAAGGACAGCAACGTGGCTGGAGAAACAGGATGGAGAAGAGCAAGGGCTAGAACCCTGGTGGCATGCGTGTGCGCTGCTGCTGTGTCCATTGTAACAACGAGACACGGAAGTAATCACTTCTCAGGCTGTGTCTAGGTTACAAAAAGAGTCTGCCTTAATCTCACAGAACATTCAAACCCTTGAGTAATCTGAATTGATTGGCTGTCCTTGGATGGTATGAATCCTGCTCCTTGCACAAAGCATTTCAGACAGACAGACATATCAACATATTCATTTGGCCTTAAGGGCAAGGGATGGAAGTGGCACCTCCAGGATTTCTGCTCCAGGACATCTTTGAACATGGAGTGAGTGAGCCATGTCCCTGTGTTCTTGGGTAATACAGTAGATGCACATACAAGATTGAGAACTGGGGGTGAAAGATTTGTGATCTCTTTGGGTGGAATCTGACCTTGAGGAGGGACACTGTGTCCCTACTTCGCTCTGATTGGGTCACTGCCCTTTTGTCTCTGTGGCTCTTCCAAGTACTGGAATGCTAAATCCACACTGTAGGAGGCCTTTGTCTTTTGTGGGGCTTCTGCCTTGAGCTCTGAGGGAGCAGACAGAATTCAGGATGGAGTCAGTCCTGCTGATGTCCCATGTCACCTAATGAGCACTGGCTTGTCACCTGACATAAGAGGTCAGAAGAAGGAGAGGTGGGCAAGTACCCTGACAGCCCAGTTCCCATGACAGTAGCTTCTGCTCTGCTTTGATCTTGTATCCTGACTTCTTTAATCTTTGCACAAAAGTAACACGGTCACTCAGTGGTAGCCAGGTATTTTCCTGTTGTTCCATCACCTAGCCCCCAGGTGAAAATAACTTTAAAATGAACAGCTTGGTTTTGATTCTTTGCTGTTGCTTTCTGTAGCTCTTTTTCTGCCTGTAAAACCAAATTCTTCACCAATCAGAATGCTTACGTTGTCTTTTAGGGCGTGATGTGCTGGCCCATACTAGAATAAAAATCAAAGCCAGTTAAGATCTTTAAGCTGGATTGCTGTGACTGCCTGAAGGGAGGGAGGCCCTGAGCCAGCGAGGAGGGGCCACTGCCCCTCGGGGCCATCCTCTGGGTGGGGAAAGGAAGGAGCCATGGGTCCTGGGCCTCAGGTGCCGGTCCCCTGGGCAGCGTGGCCTATCGTCCTGATCTGAATTCCCAGGCTTGCTTCATGTAAATGGCACTTTATCCGGCTGGAAATGTGAATCCTGTCAGCAGTACTGGCTCCGTCGTGCTTATCAGAAATACATTATCAGGTGGGGATTAGACAGAGCGGCTGCCCAGGACCAGTGGATAATGAATAATGAAAATTCCATGGACTGGAGACAAACACAATTGACAGGCAGGGTTGAGGAGCCAGCCTTTCACTCAGCTGAATGTGACATGCGTGCTCTGGACGCTTTCCACTTCACTCACCAGGGCCAGGAGCTCCTGGGGTCCAGCAGGGGGTGGAGGGGCTCCTGCTCTGCCCCTCCTGGCCTCCTCCCGGGCCTGCTGTCCTTTCTTGCCTCCCTGACCTGCACCGCGGAGGAAGAAGAGCCGCACCTGCCCACGCGGAAACGGCAGCGACGGTGGAGGCCTCCGGCAGCCCAGCCCAGCACAGGGTCCTAAAAGCCTTAATTACTTCAGCCTTTAAGTCCATCACTTTCCTTCAAATTAAGTCGGGTTTGAAAGAGGTGGTGAAGGTTCTCAATATAATGAAGTGTTTACAGTAGGTGGATCAAAGTTTATTTGAATTCTCTGCATCCCGCACTCCCGCACCACTTTCTTTTGCTCTGTCTTGGCAGTGAGGATCACAGGAAGGTGGACTAGGCAGCCGGATACGGACAATAGGTGGGCCATAATTGTCTCTCCTTCGTCTTTCTCTCCGCAAGACAATATCCTGCTTTTTTTATATTGTAAAGGTCAAATAATCAACAGTCACAAAGCTCAATTTTAAAGAAAATGAAAAAAACAAAATCGAGGAATTAAAGCGACTGCCTGCTCTCCAGGTCGTGTAGCACATGGCTCCAAGGGAGCTGCTGGTCTCCTGCAGAGACGTTTGGTCTCAGAATTAACAGATCTGCTTTTGTTCATGGGTCCCTTGCTCTCTCATTCCTTTCTTTCACAAAAACAGGTTGTGTGTGGGTACTAAGCTTAGTTAGGCCTCGAGCACCGAGTACACCCCTCAGCCACCCTCCCGGGGCTCAGAGTCAGCAGCAGGCAGGGTGCTGGGTGGCTTGGTGGCCAAGGCCCAGCCCTCAGGCTTGCATCCACCTGGAAGTGTGGTGTCAGCCTTTCCTGGGGCACTGGTGTGACCTCAGACAAGGGCCTTGAGTTCAGAGCCACTTTTCCCAGTTCTAGTGGCCCTGACACCAGTAGGATGCTGTGGGAAGGAGGAGCTTCCCCTGCCAGAGCCTCACCCTGTCTCCCAGCCAGTGTGGGGAAGCAGGCTTGAGGACTGCGGCATGCCACGTCTGAGGAGGTGCTGAGCACGCTGAGATGCCTCTGTGGATGCATAGGTGACAGGGTCCCTTGAGGTTTCCTCCGCTGAGGGATTCTGCTCCCACTATGCCAGGACAACCACGATACAACAAGGGAGCTGCGGGGACCCGTGACCTGGAGGTGCTCGAATGAGCAGCAAGCACGAGCATGTTGGATCAAAAGGGTGAAAAGCCAGTGTCCACTGTGACGGTGGCCTTCGCCTGGAATTCTGGCCAGCCCAGCTCCATGGGAGTCGTGCTGACATCCGAGAGGAGGCTGCACACAGCCTCTTCTCCGTCCCCGAAGTCCCCCTGGCCCTCTAATCAGTCCAGCAAGAGCACAGCCAAAAGCGAACACGTTCATGATTCCTGCACCAGCTTGGTTCTGGTGAGGGAGGTGGTGGTAGGAGTCATGACGGGAGCTCAGGGAAGACCACAGAAAGGACAAGGCAGGCTGAAACAGACTCTCACACCAACACTTGTCTGCAGAACTGCTTTGCGTCCTTGTGGCTGGGGACCACGCGCCCCCCTCTTCATCTCGCCCCCACAGGTTTCATAGCTCTACCTGGGAGCACTGGCTTGTAATCACCACCGCCTTAGTCACAGACCGCCGTGGGAGTCACTCACCCACACCCACACCATGAGGCCTTCTGAGGTACCTCATAGTGAAGCACAGGAAGGCCCTGGGTTAAGGCCCAGGGTCCAGTGCAGCCGCAGCAGGTGGTGTCCTACAGAGGCTCTGGGGTCCTTTGCCCTGCTTACAGCACGCAGGGTGCCCGCATGCTCCATCAGAGAGCTCCTGCTGTAGGTTGTGGCAGCAGGAGGCCATGCACTCAATGGCAGAGGGAAGGAAGCCACTCTTGCTCCTGTGTAGGTTGCTTTTTCTCTGTCCCCTCTTACCACTGGGAACGTTTTCTTTCCATCTTCCCTCCTGGTGGCTTCTGTTTGCTAATCTAAGTGTGACCTGCAGGCTCTGAGCCAGACTGGACTGTGCCGCCATGCTACCCTTCTCCATCTGTCTGTCCACAAACATCCCTTTTCCTCAGTCCCTGGTGGAGTCGGTATCAGAGTCCGTCTCCCCTCTCTCTGCCAAACCCAATACAATGGTGCTCTGGTAAATTCCACTTCTCCTCATTTTCAATTCATGACAAAATAAGAACACAACAAGTAATACACCGTGTGTCATAAACTTGTAAGCATTTACCTAGGGTACAAGACATAGACAAACAGATTGTGCTGTACAAAAACGAAACAAAGAGAAAATAGCACAAAACTTTTTTTTTAAGGAACTAAGAAAAGCTAGTAGTATAAACGAAACAAATTGGTGCAGATATTAAAATATTCTTGAATCAACAAAATAGGTAATTTGGGGGATTATCTGAACTTTTCCCTCTTTCCTATTTGTCTGTCTTGTTTCACTCCCACACTGTCTTTCTATAGATTTTCATCTGAGGGAAACTGAGGTATTTTGGCTTGTGTGTCTGATTTAATTCACTGAACGTTTTGTTTTCAAGTTGCGTCTATTTCCCATGAGTGCCTCGAAGTTACCTTCTACTGTGTACAGGTCTCCTGCTTGTGGAGACTCATCAAAAAGTGAAGCGCAGAGATTCGTTGGGCCCCGCAGGCCCCTTCCAGGTGTCTTCCCCAGAGTTAGAGGCCTCATGTCGCAGAGATGCCTGCCCACCTTGTTTTTAGCGGCACAGTCATGACAGCTACAACTTGGAAACAGTGTCTGTGGTCATCCTCAGAGGAGGGGACAGGAGAATGTGGTGTGCTGTTCATTTTACACTTTGCCTTATGAGCAGCCAGCACTCCTCCTACCCCCTAGGCCCCACGGTCTCGCAGCTGCTTGTCTCTGTCTGATCATTGTTCTGTTCACCTCTTCAAGCCCACACTGCCCGCTTTGATGGGGGTTACCCAGGCCATGGTGAAAGAGGCCAGTGTGGGCCATGCTCTGCTGTGCCTGGTACGAGACACAATTGCACAAATGCCGCATAGATGATTTATTGAGTATTATCAGAGAAAGGCAGCAGATAGCCAGCGCCACACATGGAAAGCCTGCCATGGATTTGGGGGTCGGAGAAAGCCTCTCTGGGTGAGATGATGCAGACTGCAGAGGTGGCCCAGGCAGTGACTATGGAGGGCAGCATGCTGACACCCTTGCTCAAGAGCAAAGCGCGTGTGGCGGCTGCTCGCATCTGTGGAGAGGGGCAGGATGGGAAGCTGGGCAAGCTGGCAAGCCGGCTTTTATAGAATCCACCAATTCCTAAAAAGACAGCAAGTTGGTCATAAGGGCAGGGCACGTCTTGCAGGGCACGGAGTGCACGATGGCTTTTGTAGGCGCATGCGCGAGGCTGCAGAGTAGAGCATGGATGAACACAGCCACGTGGTCTGGGCTTCCCTGCAGCTGGCCACTCTACAAGCTGTTACTCAGCCTCTCTGTTCTCTAATTCTTTTTCTCAAAAGAGGGAGCTGACAATACTTCTGTGATGGTCTGTAAAATGGTAGACAAAATTCAGAGGAAGGCTTTCATTTTCTAGAACGTTCCATGTAAGATGCACTGTGTGTGATACTGCTGGTGAAGACCACGGTGACGCTCGTGGTACGCTGATCGAGATCACAACGATGACGTGGGCTTTTCTGCAGCATATCTGTAGTCTGGAGGTGAGACTGGCTTGGTCAGGGCTGCAGGACAGGTGTGCAGGTCGAGGGGAACCGCATCACTAATGACGAGGGAGGTGTTCGGGCCTTCAGCAGACAGATGGTGCTAAGGAGGTGATGAGAGAAGTGAATACATTAGAAATATATTTGGGAGACAGAATCGATAGACTTGGTGACGACCTGTCATGCATGTGTCTAGACATCTCCCCACAGTTTTGTGTGGCCACAGGTGGGCCTTTTCCAGAGGTAGCAGGATCTGTAGTGTGGACACTGGGACTGACTAGTTCATGGTGCAGTGCTGGGCTCAAGGGGGCTAGCTTCGAGGATGGAGTGCTACCGACCTCAGTAGCCTGGATAAGGAAAGGGCTGTGACTGAGCCTCGTGCTTTGCTACCTCCTCCTGTCCAGCTTCTGTTCTCCTCTGTGATGCCTCTCTGCTGCACCAGCCTGCTTTGGAGCCAACCGATTATGGACTAAAACTTCCACAAACTGTGAACTAAGGGCACCTTTTCCTCCTTTAACTTTGAGTGTTAAGCATTTTGTCTCAGTAATGAAAAAATGTAACCAAGACAGGCTCTGTCTTATAACTCCAATGGTTGGGCATCAGCTTTAAAGAGTGACAAATGAATAACCCTTATATGTAAGGTATGAAATGCATTCCGTTCAGCAGATGCTGCTTGAGTCCCTACTGTGCACACTTCTTGGTGACTTGATTTTAAAAATTATCTGCCGGCTACATCCCAAGTCTCCAAATTATAGTGACTTAGACCCATAATGTAATAATCGCTCCCTAATGTGTCATTGTCATAGTCCTTCTAAAATATTAATATTCCTGAGCAGCACAGAAGGTAAATGTTATTATCTCCACCTGCCAGGTGGGTAAGAAAAGGTAAGGGGATCACACGGAGAAATGCCAGATGTCAGAATCAAAGCTATTCATTTTCTTTAGAAGTGACAGGAAATTGCTTGTTTTATTTGAGTTATCCAAAAGATATCTAGGAAGTTAATATCTTCCCCCGTTTCTTTTCATTCCAGTTATTACCTTAGATTTGTACTATTGTGTGCAATTTTAAATTAATTATTATACTCTAATGCCTAATTTTGGCTAGCACTTTAATTATGAAGTCATTTTAGGTTTTTAGATTGGTTACAGCTGAAGTAATGAACAGTATTTACTTTCATTAATGACAATTTTCATTAGTATTCTCTTTCACGGTAACCACATAGTGAACGTATTCAAAGCCAGAAAAATCTAATAAAGGGAAAAGTCTGTGAACCTTTTGGTGAAGGAAAAGGAGGTGTGGGCAAAGAGAACCTTGGCTATTGTTGCCAGCGGTTGCAGGAGCTGCGGTCCCACTCCATCTCTACCAGAGGGAGAAATCCAAGCCTCTGCCCCCGCTCAGCTGGACAAGCCAAACTCCTCGGATAAAATGTGTTTTACCAGCATCAGCTGCTCAGTTCACTGTACCATTTATATGCTCATTTATCCATTTGGAAAATTTAGATTTAGGCCCTTATCCCTAAGCTGACATCTTTGAATTTAGGGAGGGTTTTTTTCTTTTTTTTTTAAAGATTAAAATAATTCATGGAGCTTTTTAAAGAAAGAATTATAAAGAGAAGGTTAAATTGTGGAGATCTGGGGTCAGACCCATGCTTGTGCCTGCCTTTAAATTTCTATGTAGTTTTGACTCACTGCCAGAGGTGGAGATATTAGAAATTGTCAGTAACTTTCTTTTAGATCATTTAAAATTTTCTTTCATTCTGTGAATAATTTAGGTTGATGTCATATATATATATATAT